TCAACATATACCAAACATAAACACACAACATATATGTCGAGCCTATCGAAACAATTATATTCTTGTTCTAGGCAAGCGTTTATCCTCGACCACTTGTACACACAGTAAGAAATGCCGCAAACAGAAATGACGGCAAAAGAAACTTGCTCCAAGTACACAGTAAAGTAATACAAACCATTTAAATAACAATAAAAAAACTAAGAACATAAATCAAAACATGTAATAATAATAATATTCATGTTTTACAAAGAAGTAAAATAGGGCGTTTTTATTGTTAAAATCTGTTTTTAAACACCAAGATTTTTCTTTAGTTAAATTGAACCCCCATTCTCAGAGAGTAACAGCTTAGGCACACTCAGATATGTCCCTCATGGTTTTCCTTCATGAATTAGAGGTGTTATTATCTCCCTGCGGGTGAGTTTTATGTACCGTTAAATTACAATAAAAGTAACATCGATTTTGATAGAACTTTTTACGGAATCTCTATCACTCGCTACCAAAGGTACTATAAGTGGAACAGTGACAGGGAACCATTTTACTGCCACAGTTAAAGCAAGTACCTTTACAGTACGTTTCATTTGTTTGGATGATTCTTAAATAATTATTAACAGTGATGTAATCCGATGCATAACTTAAATGGTTAATCAAAGTAATTTTCCAAATATCTTCACCACTGGCCTAATAATAAGTTCAGGTTTAAGCCATAAGTTTAAGCCCCAAGCCTTCCAGACTGATTTATCATATATCTATCACTACTCATTACCTACCTACCGCCTACTGTCATATAGATCATATACTACTATATACGTATACAGTATATATATATATATATACTATACTATATTATACTAAATATAATATAACATATATATATATTATGTAGATATGTACGACTCTAATATATATTCATTACCTTATTATAATCACTTAACTATACAAACTCAGCGTAGGGGGAGCTGTCAGATCCTGTGCACGCTCTCAGCTTAAGTGGAGTTTCTCTACCTGCCATTTCCAAATGACTGCCACAGTTTAACATGGATACACGTCGGAAGCTCTTAAACTTTCCCTGTGTCTGTACTTACATAAATGATCCTATGAATTGTCCATTTTCACTTACAGTAATTTCCAGTCATCATGTGACGCAGAGTTACAGTGGCACAGGGGAATACATTTCAGCTAATCTTGCTTTAGTTTGTTGATTTACCATTCTTTGACCTTTATTCTGTCCCTGTGCTCGTTACGGCATCCTCCAGACACAGCGGTATAGTGTCACAAGGAGGATACAGCAGACTGTTATTTGTTTTTTGCATAGCAACATCGAAAATCCATTAGGGTTCATGTCTGGAAATATTTCATAGTGCACGGTGTCTCCAGGGAAGAGCATGCAGGGCTAACACAGCGTGTGTCTGAGATGGGTGTCAGATTGAATTCCCCTATGTCAACCAACACTTCGCTGCCCTTTTAAACCTTTTGAAATTACCTTTTTAAATATGCTTTCCTTTAGTTTGATTGGCTACTTGCAATCACTAGTTACATATTTACTCCCAAAATAATGAGGATATGATAGAGGACTTTTTTTAAAGACATATTTTGGGGAAAAAACATCTTTGCTTCTCTGCTCTGTCATTGTATGGACACAACTTTGTTTTTATGGAGGAAAGACACTGTGTATTTATGTGCGTTGAAAGACCATGTGTACTCATGGGTTCATGCGTTAGAAGGGAACAGATAGAAAAGGGGAAGGCTTTGTTTTGCAGATAGTTCCCAAATTGGATGTTTCCTTGTTTTTCTAACAGCCCTCGAAATACATGAGGATATATAAATAAAGGCCATTCTTCATACAGGTCATCACTGGGGACTTTAATGCTGTGAGCTGTTTGCTTTATAAACATCATAAAGACAAACTTAATATAGCAGAAGTTCACATACAACTGATGAGACTGTATAATCCTCATTTCCAGGTTCATATTTGTATTTAGTGTCTCTCATGTGACATGTCTCCATGCTTTAATGTTCAAAAAGCTCTTTATCTTTCTCATACTGCCTATGTTGCAGCACCTCTTTTCCCCCTCTGTCTGAAACTAGAGCCCAGTCTGCTCTGATTGGTTAGCAGGCCGGCTCTGTTGTGATTGGCCAACCGCTTAGAGATGTCCCGCCCCTTAGTCTATCACGTATAATGTGTCACTAGCCAATAGAAGCGTGAGTATTACATAGGGATGTCACTATGTTACTGAAGTAAACAAAGGAGTCCAATGGAGCTCTTTTGGCATCAAAATGTAGCCTTTGCAGACCATTTACATACACACAAAACAATTGAACATACTACAGAAGAGGGAAGCCCCCAAAAAGCCTAATAGGGCCTCTTTAACAGGGTTTTTTCTTTCTCTAAATGCACCCTGTACTTCATATTGTTTTAGAGAGGGTAGTCTTACATAAATATTTAGCATTCTCTTCTGCTGCGTCCACAGCTCTCATCCACCACGGCTACACACTGATGCAGAACTGCAATTATAGCAAAGTCAATGAATCCAGAAGGATTTACATTCTGCCTCTAATGAACCAACAAAGGTTAAACCAATCATTTGAAAATGATTTCATAAGAAATGTATTTACCAATGTGCGCACATTATAATTCCTAAGTGGTTGCCGTTGTTTGCACTCTTTTTCTTAACCTGTTAAACCCAGAGCCTGTTTTACAGGTTTCAGGCTCGAAAATGACATTCCCAGAACAAATGACCATATCTTCCCTTCTAAAAGGGTTAAATTAATAATCTTTTTTCTCAAAGTAATGATAAACCTGTCAGTTGGATTTAGAAAAAAGTCAGATTCAATATAGATGTTTTTTATTTTAAAGAAAATTCAGATTGTTCATGGTAAAAAACTTTAAATTATAGTGTCCGTCCAAAACATATTTTGTACTTATAGTGAAAACTAACCTTGGATGATGGGTTAGTACACTAAAAGCTTTAGGAATCCAAAGTACAGCATATAATAAGTACCCTGTATCAAGATTGATGCAAACAAGTGATATTTGACCTTTTTAGACAGATTTAGCACAAAAAAACCTCTTCTGGGGCCATTTGGGTGGATTTTTCATATCTCTGGCTCCCCTTGCTGGATTTTGACATGTGACATCTCTTTCTAACCGTCAGAGCCAATGGAATCGAGGGGAACTCCCACATAGTCCTTATTTGGTCATGTGTGTGTGTTAGGCTGCTGCATTGTCAAGACCGNNGGCTGAACAAAACGTGCATTTATCTAACAGGTACGTTTCCCACAGATCTTATTTTGAGCTATTTTCTAAAATCCTATGGAGAAATCTCATTGCTATTTGCGCAGCTTACTTCCTGGTTTTGGGACGCGTCTCTCTCCTCCTCTTCACACACCACACTTTTCGCGGCACACGTACTTACAGCCAATCAGCTCTGAATTATGTGAGATGACGTATGGTGGGGACGGCAGCACTCTGCCCCTATGGTCATTATTTTTTTGCCACACACATTAAATAGGACAATACTCTGAGCATGCGCAGTGTAGTTTTTACAGTCACCGTTCACTTAGACAGTGACAGGGAGGGCATGATCGGGTTTTGTCCCACATGGCTCTAAACAGCTCAATAGGCACACACTGTAGACACTAATTAGAAGAACACAGACTAAAACAGCAATGTACAGACGAATCAGATGATTAAACATGATCTTAAAATATATTTTATATATAT